TCAAGTTCCGGAATCAGAGCTGAGTTTAAGTCTTACTAACTAGCTGTGTGTCCTTGGTAAATTTCCTAATCCGTNGAGGGAACAGAGCCTGGATGGTGCCCCTGGGTTGTACAACCAGCGGCGCTGCCTTCCTGCCATCACTCAGATGACAGATGCTCTCCTGGCATTTTCCTGAAGCTGAGCCTGGACGAAATTCTGAGCCTGATGGTATTATTTACAACAGTATCAAGCTATATATGTAGTAAACTTTCTTTGTCTTCCAAAAAACATCTGGCTGCAAAACAGAAGATCTCATCTCTGAGTTACTGCTCTCCTCTCAATGTTTCAACTTGGTCCTAGTAAGAATTAGAGGCAGAATAAAGATGGTGGTAGTGAGGCTTCTCAATTCAAGATTTTACCATTGATCTTTAGGAAGAAAATGGCTACATACTATTACAATACTGAATTTAGAAGCATTAAGTCACCACATGTCAATACTTCCTTTAGCAGGCTTTGTTTTGCTTACTGCCTTTAAGAATGTAGCCAAATGGGGTAAAGTTTGTATTTGTGTGTGTTTGGGGAAGGCATGACAGGGTGGGTGGAGGGAGGTCAGATGAAGTGGGAGCCAGGGAAGGAAGAAAAGGATAAAGAGACTGGAAAAGAGTGTCAGACTGCATTTACAAATTCAGTTAAATCTTGTATATGTGTCAGTAAAAAAAATTAAGGGGCTCACTTTTAAAAAGTCTAAACTTAAAAAAAAAAAACCCAAAATACAAAACAATGACAATAAAAACCGACCTTATGGCTCCATAAAAGGTGGGAATCATGGAGAATTCAATCCTACTTTTGCCCTGTGACTGCCACAACCCTTTCAAAGCGATCTGGTTCCTGACTTGAGATTTTGACCTGTGAAAGGTAAACATTTCTCTTCTATAGTCTTAACCTCCTCTAATTTGGCTGATAAATGATACACAGCTTTAGTGCCACAAGGCTGTTACTGGAATAACTAGAAAGCCTAGAGCAAAACATGTCTCACATTGGAAAGGTGTGTTCATCTGGCTTAAATCACTTTCACAACAGACTCAACTGGTGACTGAACCTTGTGCTCAAAGCCTTTGACCGTGTCTCAGACAGACCCCCTCCCTGGACACCTGCCTGGCTCTCCCCTGGCCCAACCCCTGGGGGTGCAGCAAGTCGCCTTGTCCCAGGCAGCATGGCAGGCTGTGGCCACATCACGACTCCAGCCTCCGTGGGGTTTTCAGACAGCTCAACTCCCGAAGTCGTCCCTGGCATGCTCTGCCAATTGTTGCCGGACAGTCTGAGTGTTCTTGCTTACTGATCGCATGAGCATTGGGAAACAGAGGCTAGTTCTTTGTTACCAGTGATAATATGCGTGAGTCACATACTGACACAAAGGAGCCAATGCTGATTCTTCAAAGCCTCGATGGACTTTTCATAAATGACAGAGCCACAGAGCGGGAGGGGCCCCAGAAGTCACGAGTGCCTGTCAAACTTTGGCTTGCGTCAGCTTCAGTGAGAAGGCAGGTGGAAACACATATTCCCGGGCTGCGGGAACCCGACTCTTAGGGCTGGGGCCCAAGAAACTGCATTTCTAACAAGCTCCCAGGTGATGCTAATGATGCTGCTTTACAGCTTATACTCTGGGTGACCCTGGTCTAGACAGAAACCCAGGCTGTATATTAGTACAACTTGGGGAAGGCTAGTAACTCCTACTGGTCAGCTCCAGCCCAGGAGGTGCGGGCTGGGTTACTTCTTGTCGTTTTCAAAAGCTCCCATTTGACTGTAATGTGCAGTCAGCTCTGAGAAGGACCAGGTGGCCAGGCTCCTCAGCTTACAGACAGAAGGATGTGTCACAAATGCTCCTGAGGCCTGGTGAGAGCAAGGCCTTCCAGGTGAGCACAGGCAGTGGGTGGCAAACCTGAGCTCTTTTCTCCCTCCAAATGCAAACCTGTAGTTTCCCCAAGATGGTCCAGTGGTGGGGGGGGACAGAGAACGAGGCTACAGTCCCCGCCCCCATCTGGAGAGCAGCTCCTAGAATAGCCCTGGTGGTGAAGGGGCAGGTGGTGGGGCTGCCGCCTGAGAGGGACCAGTGGGCAGAGACAGGGGCACAGCTCAGGAGACAATACCATTTCAGGGCGCCCCCATTCCACAGACGAGGAATCAGAGGCCCTGAGCGATGAAGTGTGTGTGTCCTCATCGCTCAGTCGTGTCTGACTCTTTGCAACCCCACGGGGGTAGCCCACCGGGCCCCTCCACCCATGGGATCTTCCCGGCAAGAGTACTGGAGTGTGTTGCCATTTCCTTCTCCAGGGGATCTTCCTGACCTAGGGATCAAAGCCGGGTCTCCCTCATTGCAGGCCGACTCTCTACCATCGGAGCCAGCAGGGAAGCCCCTCATCTCAGCAGGGAGGAGATGAAGAGGTTTGCCCAAAGGACCCACAGCAGGTCAGCGGTGAGCAGGGAGGAGAAGCCTGCTCTCCTGCTGGCCCCACCACCTTGGGCTCGCTGCTGTCTGCCACAGGCGTGGGGGCTCATGACCCAGGTACGGGATGGCAAATGCAAGTCTGGGAAGCAGAACGGGAAAGAGGCACCATGCTCCAGAGCAGCGTGAGCTCATGGGGCAGGATCTTGGAAGGAGAGGTCTGTGAATGGGTTAGGAACACATCAGGGGTTTAAAGTGTGTGGGCGGACGTGGGCGGTAGAGGGGGAGTTGAATCAAGAAGAGGACTTTCGGAGAGTGGTGTCATGATGCTACCTCACCTCATCTCCGGGTGAGAGGATGCGGGACATGCTTCCTCTATGACCTCAGATCAAGAGGGAGGCTGCAGGAGAACGCTCAGATGGCTGGAATGCTAGGTTCCTTGCAGCCTGGGGACCTGGTGAGCCTACGTCTGACTCCTGCCTGAGAAACCCCCGGGAGGGTGACGGGTCAGCTGCCCCACCGTGGGGCAGAAGAGGGGACGCGGCTACAGCCGGCTCAGTCTCCACCTGCGAGTGTGTAGGAGTGAAGGATGCGTGAGCACCCCGGGAGCAGCAGTGTGGGCGCCAGGTGAGGGAGGGCTGTGCCCAAGGCAAGCTGGAGGGGCGAGCCCAGGACTGGGGCACTGCTGTGTGCGTGCGGAAGGAGCTACAAGTGGCCCACCGGGGGGTATTTCCCCCATGCTGGGGGCACTGCAGGAGCGTAAGGCCCGGTAATGGGGGCTTTGACAATCCCACAGAAGGACTCCATGAATACCTAAAGTGAAAGTGGCTCAGTCCTGTCCGACGCTTTGCGACCGCATGGACTGTAGGCAATTCTCCAGGCCAGAATACTGGAGCGGGTAGTCTTTCCCTTCTCCAGGGGATCTTCCCAATCCAGGGACTGAACCCAGGTCTCCTGCATTGCAGGTGGATTCTTTACCAGCTGAGCCACAAGGGAAGCCCAAGAATACTGGAGTGGGCAGCCAATCCCTTCTCCAGCGGATCTTCCCAACCCAGGAATTGAACCAGAGCCTCCTGCTTGGCTGGTGGATTCTTTACCAACTAAGCCATGAGGGCAGCCCATGAGCACCTAAAGGGCCCGCTTATCCTTTCAGGAACAGCAAGGTCAGTGCTGCTCCTGAGAGGTGAGGTCTTTCCTGCCCCTTCCACCACTTGAAGCCCCAACTCTGGAGGGTTCGGAAACCCTGGAGATGGGATGGTGGGGAAGAAACTCGGCAGCTCATCCACAGCCCCTCCTCTCCCAGGGCAGGCTCAGGACGAGCTGGGGGAGGGAGAGGCACTGCCTCTGAGTGCAGGTTGGGGTTTTGAATGTAACGCTGGACTCCATGTATTAGCTGTTGACCAGACAACCTTCTAAGTCAGGAGACTTGCCTGAATTTTTCTCTAGGAGTAAGGGAAAATAAGTGCCAGCTGTCGGCGGAGTTAAAAAAGGCCAGTGTGGGGAAAGCTCTCTGAATGCATCCTAAGGGCTGAGCTTGACCAACGTGGTGCTTACAGCCAATGACACGGGTGGCAAACGCTTTCCATCCACACGGAGGCAGGGCTCCTGTGCTCTAAGGTCCTCTCTGAGAATGGAAGCACTGCATCAGCCCCCTTCCCTGTTTCACTTTCCCCTTTCAAGGGCTTCTCACTGCCCACGGGTAACAGTTCAAATTCCTAACTGTGATTCCTGCCTCTCCCTGCAGCCTCCTCTGTACCCTGGCCGCAGGGACGCCCCAGCAGCTGAACTCTCCCCTCCCTTCCCCAGGTGGGCCTGCACGTTGCTCCCTCTGGGGGATGGGTAAGCCCTCAACCTCTGCCTCCCGCTCAGCCTCCAGGTCTTAGCACGGGTGTCATTACCCCAACCCCTGAGTGCTGTACCCCAGGACCCCCACACACACCCAACCAGCCCTTATTACCCCGCCTTGTAAACAATTTTTTACGTGTCTGATCTCCCCAGGAGGCTGAAGGAGTTGGGGGTTTGGTTTGGGAAGGGGGGGAGGGTTGTGTTTAGCTTGAATCCCCAGCAAGCAGCCCAGTGCCTGGCCATACAGTAGGCGCCTAAGAAGTCTTTTAAAAATAAATACGGGTGAACACTGCAAACACTCTGCGACAGAAGGAGCCATTACCTTCTTCTTCATTTTCATCCCCAGCAGCTGAACTCTCCCCTCCCTTCCCCAGGCGGGCCTGCACGTCGCTCCCTCTGGGGGATGGGTAAGCCCTCAACCTCGGCCTCCCGCTCAGCCTCCAGGTCTTAGCACGGGTATCATTACCCCAACCCGAGTGCTGTACCCCAGGACCCCCACACGCACCCAACCAGCCCTTATTACCCTGCCTTGTAAACAATTTGTCACGTGTCTGATCTCCCCAGGAGGCTGAAGGAGCTGGGGGTTTGGTTTGGGAAGGGGGGGAGGGTTGTGTTTAGCTTGAATCCCCAGCAAGCAGCCCAGTGCCTGGCCATACAGTAGGCGCCTAAGAAGTCTTTTAAAAATAAATACGGGTGAACACTGCAAACACTCTGCGACAGAAGGAGCCATTACCTTCTTCTTCATTTTCACGTTTTTGAAGATGGCGTGGACTCTCCATGTCTTTGCAAACATTGCCCCGAAGGCGGTGGTGTAGCCCACGGTGAGAATCCAGGTCCTGACCTAGAGGCCGTGAGAAAACAGAGGGTCAGCATCGCCCAGGTGGACGGACCTGGTCTTTTATGAGAGTGTCCCAGCAGTGGGACTCCGGATGGTAGGGGCAGATGCTCTACTTTACATATGGTGGAGTTTCACTGGCCTCAGCAGTCCTTCCATCGCATGTCAATCTGATAGACCTTTAGTTCTATCAGCCACTCACCAGACCCAGGGCCCTAGGTGCAGAGGCATGCGAGATTAAAACTCTGCCTTCCATGGGCCCACAGCCCAGTCACTCAGAGAGGCACAGAGGGTCCACAGACCAGCCTTCCGGTCCTTCCTTCCTCCTTTCCTTCCTCGACGGCCTTTTGCGTGCCTGCGAGGGGACCATAATTGCTGACTTCTCCGCCTCCTCACCCAAGTCTCTATGAGACCAGGCGGCCCCAGGAAGCTCTGCTACAGTCCTCCGTGCTCCCGGGGTGTAGACAGCGGGGAGGGGGGGCTGAGATGGGGCAGGACAGCAAGCTTGCATGGCCCTCCTCGGGCATTAGTGACCCGGCCACTCCGCGAGGCAGGGCAGGACTCAGCCAGAACTGGCCCCGGGGACCCCTGACTGGCAGCTGCACCAGCCCAGCTTCCGGCCATCATGCGGGGCTGCTCAGTGAGGGGTGGAAGGCCAGGGGAGAGGGGCTGTGACCTCCCCACTCCCACCGTGGGCCTATCTCCTCAGGCCTTTCGAGAAAGACAGGAGCGACGCTGCCTGGGTCTAACCTTGGTCCCCGAGCCCACACTTGGACCTGAGGTCCTCGCTTAGGACTAAGGCTTTATCTGGCTCTCACCTGACCCCAGGGCTAAAGTGTGCCCTGATCCCTGGCCCCAGGCTGGTGGCTGCGGGAAACCACCAGCTCTGATAAGAGCAGAGAGCCTGATTCCTGCAGGCGGGGGTGGCTGGTAACCATCTGTTAGGTTGTGGGTGCCCACTCTCCACCTGCACGGCCATCGTGGCCAGGCCCCAGCCTCTCCTGAATCCACCCTCACTGGCTGGTCTGGACAGCCTCCGAGACCCAGGAGACGGATCTTCCGGGCCCCCAAACACGGCCCAGCCCTGGGCTGTGTGCCACCACTTTCTGGGGCCTCCCACTCACAGGGACGAAAAGGCTGTGTGTGCTGTGAGCCCTGGTTCTAGGCTATGGTCTTTCCTCTGCTCTCCCTCAGCCCTGCTGGGCTGAGTTAACCTCTGAAAGGCCCCCACCTGCCTCGGCTGGACTCAGCAGGAAGGTGGGTATGGAAGGAAAGAGAGAGACGGCTAGGGTGGGCAGGTCAGCCCAGCTCTCCGTGTCCAGAGCCCAGCAGGTTTGCCAGGCCTCAGCGGCCCATCCAGCCCAGGGCTGCGGCTGGTCGCGTAGGAGGTTCCCAGATACGCTCCCTTCATGCAGTGCCTTCACTCTGCCTTTTAGCAACTTGGCTCCCCAGCTTCTTAGAGACAGAACATTTCCTCTTTCCATTTTATCGGCAAAAATAGGAACTGGCTAGGGAGATGGAAAGACCAACCCCCTAAGGAAAGACAACAGTATTACCGCAACTGGTCAGAAACACAGACACATGAGGCGCGAACGCTGGTAATGGTACAGGTGAGGACTCAATCTTTTTTTTTAAATTTCGAAAATTTCAGGCAGGCAAGAATGAATCACAGTACTCTACAGAAGGTGTAGGATGGCCATATTATAAAACAAGGATGCAAGAAAAGTAAGCAGAGCAGAGACAGCGAAGGAGTCAATTATTGGGAACTTAGACCTGAGCTTATTCAATGATGAGATTTCACATTCCTAGACTGCTGGAGTTACATAGGACCTTACAGATCAGTTCATTCATTCATTCATTTGTTCATCTGTTCACTCAACAAGGATTACTAGGTCAGAAGCTAAATATATAATGATAAAAACAAATGAATAGAACCACGGCCACCAAAACCAGGGTGATTTTTCTGGCGTCATCGGCTGAGTGGGAAAGCCCTTTGTAGAGACTCAGGGCATTGAGCTGTTTCTCTCGACCATGCAGCCTGGCTCCAGAGCTAAGCCTGGAACCCAAGGCCGTGACCTAGGCCAGCCCTTTCTCCTCTGCATCCTGCTGCCTGTCCCTCAGAGAGTCTCCCGACCCCAGCCAGGTCCACCCTGCCCAGGAGGCAGCCGCCAGCATAGCACAGCTAGGGAAGCTGCTGTTCAGCCTGGGAACACTTCCCCGGCTGACTCCATCACACTCTGAGAGCAGTGGTTGTGTGAAGACCAGTGGTCTCCAAGTGTTTTTGACCATGTTCCTCTATCAGCAAAAACCATTTAAAACATGAACATGTACAGAACAAGCAGATTTTGAAAAGGACGGTAAGAGATGGAATATTCTTCTTCATAATGTGGCAGACAAAGACCTCATACTCTGGGTACAAGTATTACTCCGATATGCTTGGCATTATTATATTTGCTTTGACTTATGCCTTCTCTGGAGCCATTATTTTCCGGCCACTTGTCTACTCTGCAGGGCCAAACTCATTAAGACATAATAGTACAAATGAGTTAAGTTAGTTAAAACTCGACAATATACATTTAACTGGGCATCTGGAAACTGCAATGTGGTGCCATAAACTGAAAGCAAAGAATGGGTGAGGACGCCTGGGCAGAAAAGAGGGAGCCCGGAGGCCCCAAAGCCTGCTGGCAAGGTCCGCTCAAGCCGGTGTCTGAGAAGCTGGGTTTGGGGAGGCTCCCACCACTTGCCCAGCGATGAGTGACCCTGTGCCTGAACGGTTTGTGCAGACAGCGTGCTTTATGCCACAAATCTGCCTTCCTTCTGAGAGCCTGGAGCTTGGCTAAGTGTTCAGGAGAGGGGACCCAGTGACTGGCTCCCCGTAGAAACCGTGGGCGCCGAGTGTCTGCTGAGCTCCCTGGTCGACATTTCACCTGTTGTCACACTTCGGTGCTGGGGAGTTAAGGGCATCCTGCGAGACTCCGCTGGGAGAAGCTCTGGGACGCTGGGACCTGGTTCCCGTGACTTCCTCCTACGTGCCTTTTCGCTTTGCTGACTTTGCTTTATGTTCTGTCTCTGTAATTAATCATTGCTGTGAGTACACGTCTATGTTGAGTCCTCCTAGAGAATCACAGAGCTGGGGCTCATCCCGGGACCCTGGACACCATGCCCTGGGGCTGGCTGGTGTCACAGCTGACCAGCCACTGCGTCCTCAGAATTCCTGCATGAGACCCCCAGACACACCCACCATTAGATTTTAGTAAAGTTTCATTTCTTTCATTTTTTCTACATGTAACGTAAGTCAAGGCTGTAATATATTCTTTCACAGCCTCCCTGGCAGCTCAGACAGTAAAGAATCCGCCTGCAATGCAGGAGACCAGGGTTTGATCCCTGGGTCAGCAAGATCCTCTGGAGAAGGGCATGGCAACCCACTCCAGTATTCTTGCCTGGAGAGTCCCATGGACAGAGGAGCCTGGCAGGCTACTGTCCATAGGATCGCAAAGAGTCAGACATGACTGAACAACTGTCACCTTCAATTTCTTTCATTTTTTCTACATATAAAGTAAGTAAAGGCTGTAATATAGTCTTCCACAAGATGATCCCAGGGTATTCACCTCCCTTAGGAGACAATCTGGAGCTCTTTAGACCATAATGAAACAACAATAGAAGAAATATTCTGAAAGCAGGACAGAATGGGACCTGTGGGACCCCTACCAGCAAAGCCGCCCACCTCGGGCTGCCCCTGCTTGGGGTCACCCCTGGGCTTGGCCTTTGCAAAAGGAGGTAGAATTTCTCTCTCCACTCCGCCACCATCATTTTAGATGGGAATGGACACTGGGGCTCAGTCCTGACCCTGCCGTGTCCTGAAAGGGCCCTCCCTAGGTTATCACTCCCGTCCTCAGGCATCAACCATTGTCCTTGTGCTGACGATTCCCTGAGCCCTGTCCCAGCTCCTGCCTCTCTTCTGAGCTCCAGGCCTGCAAGTGCCACCATCACTGGAGACCAAGGGGACACGAAGGTGCTCAGCAAACTTCACACTCTGGAGCCAGAGCTGAGCCCATCAGCCCTTCTGCTGAGCAGCCCCACTGCCAGCTGATTCAGGGATGGTGCCTTTACCCACCTGTCACTGGAAATAGGAACCCTCCCCTCTCCCCCCAACACTTTCCCATTCATTCCCCAGTGCTTCTCCTTCTGCCGCTTCTCCTGCTGCGGTCCATGGAGTCACAAAGAGGCAGACACGACTGAGTGGCTAAGCACATCCTGAATGCTCTTCTGATTTCTCTCACTGGAGATGAATAGTTGTTTTTTTTTTTTTNATGGAGGCCTGAGAGCTGGGGCCGCGCTCCGGCACCTCCCAGCTCCTTTGCGCTCTGGTTTTCGTCTTGATGGAGGGCTGAGAGCTGGGGCCGCGCTCCGGCACCTCCCAGCTCCTTTGCGCTCTGGTTTCCGTCTTGATGGAGGGCACCATCAGGAGACCGCAGAGGGCAGCAGAGAGGAGACGGGGTGTGCACCCCCTGTGCCCACGGCCGCCGCGCCCGCTCTGGCTGCAGCCGGGCTCCACGTGTGGCCTGGCCTCTCTGGGTAAAGCAGAACCCTGGCTCTTTACCCCTTCAGGCCCAGGATTGGTGAGGGCTTCCTGCAGTGGCGTCTACGCCTGCCTCCTTAACGCCGTCCACACCCCTGTAGGTGGTCCCCTCACTGCCCCTCTCCAGGGAAGCACCCAGGTGGCCTCCGCCTGCTTCCAGGACTCTGACGCAGTCTCACTCCCACATCTCCTGTTCGTAACCCCTCCTCTCTGCTCCCGTGTGCCCTCCAGATGAGCCGTCACGAGCAGGGGCTCTGGACAGAGACTGACAGAGGTTCCAGCCCTTGCTTTCTCACTTACTGTCCGTGTGAACCTGCACAGGTCACATGGCCTCTGTGAGCCTCGGTTTCCTCATCTGTGAAGTGGGGGCAGCTAATGTGTCTGATTTCGTGGGGTGGTTGTGTGGATGAGATGAACGGAGGTGTGT